TACTGCTACAATTAATAATTGTCTCAGTAAATGCCCAAACCCTACAGAACTGGTGCCTTCAGAGAGCCACTATGATTACATATTTGGCGTCCCTGAACCGGTTTTCCCTACATATAGATATACTGGACATTCTCACTAGCTTTTTTTTGTGTCATTTCATGAGGTTATAACCTCTGGCTCATGTGACGCCTGATCTTTCCATCAATACACTTTGGTCTTGCCTGCTGTAAAAGAAATTTGACTGTTTTTCACAAAGTTTAGTTGGCTTGGAAATAAATTCTGAAATAGTAGGAAAATTAGTGTCTTTCTTCAGTGATTAAATATTGCAGCTGTTGTTTGTATACAGTAGGTAAATTCTATACTTGGGTGAAACATTTTCTGGTGCAGTATATAGCCTTTGTGTTTAAAATAATACTATACTTTATATACATGTACTACAATGTTAACATTTAAAAATAAACTGTTATTGACTTTTATTTCTCATTAAATATAACTTGCAAACATGATGGTGGCTTTTTATTCTGCAAATTTTCTGTGGACTTCAGAGGAAGAATGTAGTCTTTAATCAGCACCTAATTTGCAAGTTCAGTAGCATGGAATTTCCATAATAAATTGAAATTGCCTCTGGGTACATTTTCTTGTAAATTTTGTAACTCCTCAAAAGATCTACTTTTAAGAATTAGTTTCAAAGTTTAATTGTAACATCTAAGCTACTAATTTCTGTCTCCCTGATCAATTTATTTTGCTGATGCTTGTATCCAAAGCAACTTACATTTGCCCCCATTTATACAGGTGGGCAATATGAGTAAATTACCACACTCAGTAGTGCCCCACTTTGGATTGAAACCCACAACACCCTAGTCCTCTATCCAGAGTACTAACCCCTCATCCACACTGCTTCTTGCTTTAAATAAGAGGGGTTTTGACTAATTTTTCATATTCTCCTGGAACTTCTCTGTAGCCTTTTGCCAAGATTATATCCACTCTGGTTCAGACTTTCTGCTTTGATCAAGTGCTTACTATAACTTGAGCAAATTTATAACTTGAGCAAATCCCAAAACAAACACTAAACAGCTTGTGATACCTCTAGCCAAACAGCAGTTTGCCCAGTCTGCAGTAAACTGCTAGTGATTACTAGATGGTACTTTTCAATGATCCTTCTCAGAGATTTTAAAATGAATAGTGTGTGTTTATTAATCTCTTACAGGCATTTCCTCAAGCTACTGTATAATTGCTTAACCTATGGTAGCATCTTAAATCAAATCGAATTTACACCGTGGCTTAAACAGCTTTTCAGTCTTTCTGATGTTACTTGCTCTCTTGATAGTTTCTTCAATGTAGAAACATTGCTGTCTTTCCTCTGGGTTCTGTCATCTCTGCCACTTGGCAGGTTTCTATGGAAACGTTGCTAGAGGCTAAGGTGCAGCACAATCTATTATACCACACAATATAAAGTTCACATCACAGAACGGATTTCCAGGTTCACACTCGGACAACAAATAAATAACTTGCAGTGCACCAGTGTTTGAAGCTTATTTGCACTGATTTAAATAAATGTTATTGATTTGGGTTTGTACGTATTAAAACTTCCTCAGAATGCAGGTTGAGCGGTGGTAAACCTGGGCCCTGTATTTACAAACAAAGGTGCACAACGGGCAGAGCCAGTTGTGGGGTTTAGATAAGCTCCAGAGCTCACTCCCTTTCATGATGGCATGAAAGGTATCAATAACGCCACCGTGCTGTTCATGCATGAATACTGCATGTTGGCCAGAATGAGTTCTACCCTGCGAGGTATAGGAGTCTAAGCTGTAAATCTAAATAATACACAATTGACTGTTCTGTATTAAATACTACAAAAATCAAAGCTAAAATAACTGCAGACCCTAAATTTACAAAAAAGAAAGTCCTGGGGATTTTTTCAACAGCCAGTATCTCCTTATTTTTGTCTTTTTTCTTTGCAGAAACTTCATCTGAATGAAGATGTAGCTGGGGCTACTTTCATGGCAGCAGGGAGTTCTGCCCCCGAGCTCTTTGCTTCAGTAATAGGTAAAGACAGATACAGTAAATAATTGGTTTACTATTCATCCTGCCTACTCCTGATTGTATATTTGACAAACTTATTTTATATCATCTCATCTTTCATTGTATATTTGACATTTTACACACTTGAACTTTGTAAAATTGAACTTCTTAGGCTCCATCTTTCATTAGGAATTAGAGCTTTTGTAACATTCCAGGGACTATTGGTATCACTATATTAAAGAGATTATGCTTGTACATTTCTGGTCGTATTTTTAGTGATGCTGCTACATCTCCATCTGCAAAAGAAAGGCAGATTCTTTGGTATCCTTACTTTCAGGGTGTGTACAGTATGGGAGGAAATATGCATATTCTGTCGTTGTACACTTTTCTCATCTGATCATTCCAATTGATTATATTATTTTAATAACATAATTGTTTATTACATAATAAGACAAAATTATTTTAAATGGAAATTCATACCCATTTTTTTAATAGTTTAAGTTCAAATAAATTAAAATAACTAAGAAAGCTTCTGAGTACACATAGTAGACATTCTTTCCAAGAGCTTTATTCTGAGTTTGATTTTTCTTTGAGTATTTGACAGTTCTGGGGTTGTAAAACAGCTTACAAGGCTTTCTCAAATTGGGTACCACCTTGGTTTTTGAATTTCTTTTGACCATTTGCCACATGTTTGATCAAAAGAGATTTTTGACAATTTATGTTTCTTTCTGCTCTATATATTTGGTGCCTTTTAAGAGTTCTCTCTGCCATTTTACTTACAGTAGCTGGACAGCAGAACTGCCTGAACACAACATTCGTTTTCTTTCTTCCTTGCTCAAATGTTGTGTGCTGGTGTGCTACATTATGCATGTCTGCAGACGAAGCACTTCTCCTGCAGGTGCAAAGATGCATATTGTAAGTTAAAGTCATCTGTGTCTAACAAGATTGAGAAACTATTCCTGCTGTTGTAGGCTAATATTTAGAGGCCTTTTGCTGATATTCTGGTGTATAAAACCCATGACAGTGTCTGCTGTCAATTTAACCATGCACACCATAAAATATAGTTTATATTGTTTTGACACTTCTGTGACAATCAAGGTTTTCTATCTGAATAAATCATCAAATCACTTTCAAAAGCTGCTTATCTAGTTCAGGGTCACAATGCCTTGGGGTCCTGAAAAGCACTGGACCCAAGGCGGGATACACCCTGGATGGGATGCCAGTCCATTGTAGGGCACACATCTGAATAATTAAATCTGTTTAATCGCATTTTTGTGTTTAAATCTGTTAGAATATAGCACATTAATATTTAATTAGTTGAATTTACTTAGGCTATATGGACTGTTATTTAAAAAGCTTAATTCTATTATATTAATAAAAGTGAATTCGGTACTCCTCACATTCTGATAGATTAGAGGGGTGTAATTTAAAAGGTACAAGTGGGGATTGGCATGAGTGGGCGGCTAATTCCATGCTGAAAAATAGAAAGAAGAAACTGCGATTCAGATTTTGAGCCTTCTTCAGGCTTGACTGACTCACATCTGAAGAAGGCTGAACAGCATGAATGTTGCATTTCTTCTTTCTGCTTTTTAGCATGGAATTAACTTTTATTGTCTTTGTGAAATTTAAAAGCTGATCGTTACATCATTGGTTTCAATCTAAATGATAACACTTTGTATTTTCCTCATTTTGGGGTGGTCTTTAAAAACAAACTTAGTTGTGCAATTCTGGAAGCAATATACATTTGTAAAAGGTTGACTGTGTAAACTATGAACTACAGTTTTGTGAATTTTTGGAGACACCAAGCAATAACTTTGTTTCTGTGAGAAATACTCTGGCAAATGTTTCACTTCATCTTGAGAATACCTAAAACAAAAACCTTAAAATCCAGAAATATATGCATATTTGCCCTCAGAAAAGATTACATATTTTTTACCTTTACTTCTCATTGAAATATTCAGTGATATAATTTAGTAGGTAATCATTTTTGCTGTGTATTATACCCATAGGGGGTGTCCAATCCTGGTCCTGGAGGGCTGCGGGATTTCAGGACCTCTTTAAAGCAGCAGCACCTTAAGCTGTAATTGGGCCAGTTAATTAAATTACTTTCTTACCCAAGTACACCAACAGTGTTTGAGTTACATTATGGGGTAAAAAAATCCAAATAACATGGAGCACCTGACTAAACAGACAAGGCTTTAGTCCTGAAATGCATTTGCATTTCTCAGATTAGCAGGGAGTGAGATCCAGAGTTATCCAGAGCAAGGCGGCTGAAAGCGAGCACCCAGAGATGCTTTTACCTATTAGGAGGTACAAATAAATAGTGTGTCTCAGCAGAGCGTAAAGCCCTGCTTGGTACATAGGAAATAGTAAGAGATGCTAAGTATTGCATGGATTTGGTGCATAGGGCTTTAAAAGTTAAAAGTGCCAATTTTTAGATGAACGATCTGGCTAATGGGCAGCCTATGAAGACATTTCAGAATTGGGGTGATGTGGTCACAGAGCCTTGAACGCATGAGAAGTCAGGTAGCTGAATTTTAGACCAAGTTTGTTTAGGGAGCAGGTACAGTAGGGAGACCACTGTAAAGACTCTTGCAGTAATCCAGCTGACATGATGTCAGGGAAAGACTGCAGGCAATGTTTCTGAGAGACAAAGACAAAGAGACAAGAGACTTTACAAATGGATTTTATTTGTGCATCAAAACAGATCTCAGTATCAAAATAAGTCCCCCAGATGTTTCTTACTGTACATCTGTTCAGAGCTTGTCTTTCCAACATGCTTTATGTACAGGAGTGGATTCATTTCATTCACCGCTGAATCACCCACTAGGGTGACACTCAGAAGTCCCACTGCGGATAAATTTAAAATTACTTTAAGAGGCCCGTTCTGCAAACTCAATGTAGACTTTAGGCAGGACACCAGGTTTTATAAGCTGTAGGGGTATTAACAAGATTGAATTATCCTACAGACAATACCATAGGATTTTTAAAGATCAAATAGGCAGGAACTTGGCTTATTTGTAGGATATGAAGTGTCCCCTGTCACCATAGTGGTGAGTTGGTTTAAAAATGTTATTCCCGAGAGAAGAGTACCATCTACTGGTCGACCAACACCATTACAGTAGCAATCTGGTTTTACTTGAAGTCTGTCATCTTGGCACCAACTAGACCCAGGCTTGCTTAGCATCTGATATCTGATGAGAGCAGGCTTCGTTATTCTAGTTTGACCAAACAATAGAAAATGGGCATTTGGACCTTTTCAGTTTTTCATAGAAAATTGTTTTGTTTGAAGGAGATATGAAGATCTTTGTTATTACTGATGTTTAGTTTATATAATAAAAACTAGAAATCATGACCTGGTGTTTGAAGCACATGAAGTCAGTTGATCTTATTTTTTTTAAACAGACATCAAAATATACTGAATGTTTGAAAGCATCACTGCATATGTGACTCACAAAACCTCAGAGGTAACTTTATATCACCTTTAACATGTAGATGTTTTTGAGTTACTGGATTTTAAGTAAAAAACACATTCAAAAACTGTTTTTAGATCTCAGTGTCAAATCATTTGGTATACTGTACAGCTTGCAAAATATTTTAGCAAGCAGCCCACATGCAGTCCTAAGTGACTTTAAACATCAGCTATTAATGTTACTTACAGTACATAAGTCAACCTCCCATGAAGAACAACACAAAAATCTGAAATACTTCAAATAGGCACATTAAGAGCTGGAAACAACATAAAGAATTTGGAAACTGTTAAATTACAGGTGTATCAAATAGAGACTCCACAGCAATGCTTTCTCAGCAGTTTACATTTCTTTGCAATTTGTCCATGGAAGCCCTGTCCAAACATGGTGCAGAACTGCCATAGAGGCCTTACCTAACAAGTAGTCTTTTTCATCTTTGTTTGTCCTTGGTTTCTCACAAAACGTTTTTGTGCATCTTTTATGGTACAAACTGAGCTGTTCAGATACAAGTAATCCTTTTCATATAAGCTAAGAGCTCTGCCTAGAATTCATATAATAAAACTGTTCAAATGGAATAAGGTACTAATTAAAAGACTTCTTATTAATTATATATGTGTGTGGTTATATTAATCAGTTAATTTGGGACTATGAAATCTCTTTCAATGAGGATAGTATGTGAAATCACTTTCGATGGGGATAATGTGATTCAGGGAAAATACAGCAAGCTATTTTTTAAAATCATTGACTTCATTGCATTATATTCAGACCGCCTTGAAGTACTTAAAAAACTACTGCTCAGCATTAAGAATTTTAGCAGAAATTAATATTTTATTATCTGTATGTATACATTTGTATGAGTTTGTGCAATCTACGCCAACACATACTGAATATTATACTGTACATTCTCTACTGGAATATATTATTCTTGCATACATACACAAAATCTTTTCTCTCCAGTGAGCAATGATTTAAATGAACAAAGGTGCTTTTCATACTTACTGAAGGGAACAGTGTTTTCTGCAGGCAGTGCTGAATAATTAATGTCTGCTAATATTTTGAAAATGTCAGTCTTCATTGCATATCATAAGTCCTGCCAGTTGTGGACTGGATAAGGTAATTCATTTTGTCTCCGATTCTCCAGGTGTCTTCATCACCCATGGGGATGTGGGCGTTGGAACTATTGTTGGCTCAGCAGTATTCAACATCTTGTGCATAATTGGTGTCTGTGGAATCTTTGCAGGGCAGGTATGTAACTTTTCTTTTTGCTCGCTTTTCATTTTTATTTTTGCCCTCCAGAGTGATGCTATTATGGTTGTTTTTTCAGGAAGCTTTATTCTCTTAGCAGCATATACTGTACCATGCTTCTTGAAAATATTTACCATTTACATTTAACTCCTTCCTGTACACTGTCAATTCCAGAAGATAAGCATCCTGCCACAACTGATAAAACATAATGGTGACACACTGACAAGATATTGTGCTTGGTTGCCCCATGACACTCAAGAAAAGCATGCTTGTAAGACCTCAAATAAAACAGGAAGAGAAATTTTATTGAACTTGTATCTCTGATAGTGGCATTGCAGTTCAAGTACCACCAAGTCCTTGTTCTCATGTACCGAGAGGCAATAAAGACTCAAATGGGTTTTGCAACCTGTGTACTTTGTTGGATTATTAACCTATCTCAGAATGAGTACTGTATATAGTGTAGCTTATACAGTACGTAGTGTATTAGTATAGCATATTAGGAAGTGGAAATGGAGGAAACTATACTTGTTTCAATGAGCTTCTTGTCAAAGGTTAAAGAAGGTAAAAAATTAAAACAAATGAGAGGCTACTCAGGTCAGAAGTAAATATGTTCATAAGCTTCTGTACTTGTGTAGGTCAGAATGGTGTTCAGTGCAGGCAGAGAGTACCTACTGTACAAAGGTAAAAGGGTCAAGAAGACTCCAGTACAAGGGTTTGTTGTTAGTTTTGCACTGCTAGTTATGAAAAAAAGTTACACATGGGACCACAAATTATGCCTTTTATCTCATTGAAAAAAAATCTTTAATGTTATTTACCCTTAGCAAAACAAAAGCTGTTTTTTTATTTTTTCTGTAATCACAGCTTGAGAAAAAGACAGATGAATGGCAAGGACAGTGCTTGAAGTGTTCTATTATTATGAAACAACTCTGTTTTTAAAATGCATTAAAAATGTATAATACTGTATATTGTAGTATGTCAATAAAACTGATTATATTTTTTCAAACCTCCTTGCATGTGAATATAGATGTTAATTTGGGCCTGTGATTAAAAAATTATCTAGAAACTATAGATGATTTGGAGAAGCTCAGTGTTATCTTAAGTGGGTTTAATAACGCTTAAGGTAAAATCTTAAGGTAGCCATGTTCTTTCTCTCTGCTTATGCTCAACGGCTTTGTAGATTTTATTCTCATTACTAAACAAACACAAGAACTCATCAATAAATCCTGTAATATTACCCACTCCGAAGATGAATAACCAGAAGAGACACAAAACAGGACAAATGGCACAGAGCACAAGCAAGAGTCTTTGGCATTATAAGAGTGAAGTGATTAAACTAGCAATGAGCTTCAGGATACACACCAGGAAGAGTGGAACATCCATCACTGGATAAAGGAAATAATACAATTAGGGCCCAAACGCTTAAAGAAGTGACCAAACTTCTTTTTTTTTGGTCCTTTTAAAATCTTCATCAATTTGCAAAAAAATGATGTATTAGTAAGGACAGTTTTTGGCTCTTAAGAAGTTGAATATTCTTAGTACCAGCCTTTAACCTTGTTTTTGCATTTCACACCTGCACTCATTCAGATAGGAGGACCATATGCAATTTAAAATATGCAGAACATGGTGTCACTTTTATTGTGGGAGTGTTTGATACAATGTCATTCACAGTCTATAGCTAAGTTTGAGTTCTGTAGACATAGGAAAGTAATGAGACAAAAGGTTTATCTAATTTAAGCAGTCAGTGGGAAGTCTTTTAGGTTCTTCTGTTTACTAAAAGTTTGGAAAAGGAATTGATTTTGATAATATTCTGTGGCTCACCCGGGAATGGGGTGTCATAACGAGAATCCTTTTTTATAGTTGGATTTACAAACAAATGCATTCACAGTGATAAAGAAGTAAATGCTCTTGTAGGGAAAACCGGTTCAGGGACGCCAAATATGTAATCATAGTGGCTCTCTGAAGGCACCAGTTCTGTAGGGTTTGGGCATTTACTGAGACAATTATTAATTGTAGCAGTAAATCACAAAGTTGATTCTTTTGATGGCTTTAGAATCCAACCATGCGACATAACTAAAACAACGCGCACACACAGGTACTAATACACGAGGATACATTTATTAATACATAGAATATGCATGTAAACCTAACAGATCTTATCGAGAGGGTTATCAGAATACAAAAGGTATATTCGGTCAGTTACAAAGAGTTACACATCAAGAGGACATACGTTCAGTATATCATTCATTAAGACCGTTTCGTAAAGTGAACTTGGTTACAACTTCTACATTAGATACTCAAAACAAGTACATAACTCTTAGGAATTAAATTGATATCAACTGGTTGGGATAACAATTGAATTCTCGAGCTGTAATGCATTGAAGTTGAATACTCATCCAATCTTTGGGGATTCAGGGATCTCCTGCGGGCACAAAGAAACAGTTGCAGGCTGTTGCTGTCCAATCCGCGGTCTCTGGCTCGGTGCCAGGCTGTGCTGTGCGGCTTGCGATGGTGCGCTGTTGATGCTCACTGACCGGCTAGTTAGTGTTGGCTTTAACTAGCAAAGTTTGTGCACAGGAGAAAAGATGACTGTGGGTCCCAGCAAGTCAGGAAGAGGACAGGTTCATTCCTGATGAAGAGCTAGTTCTGAATAGTGATTCAGCTGTCCACAGTTCCGACCTGTTCACAAGGCCTGCTGCTGGTTACTCTTTGGCAACCTCCACTCTAGACTCTTAGAACAAAGGAAAGTTCTGGCACTCGGACACACTGGCCGTTCCCTGGTTGTCCGGGCTGAGTCTCAGGATGGTCAGGAGGCACGCTGCGAGAATGTCCTGCCCTTGGGAGCCTTCTGCTCCTGGGCCGTCCTGCCCTGGAATTCTCCTTTGATTTCCCTTTAGAATTCTCCTCAGAATCTTACTGAATCTTACTGAATCTGAATCTTGTTGAATCTCCCAGGCTCTCTGTGCTGCCTGTTTTTACCTGGAGGAACTTCAGCTCATTGATTGGCTGAAAGTTCCATGGGCATCAGAGTCCCACGTGGGTTACTCGGCCCTACCAGTCCCTGATTGGTTGATCAAGGTGAGATATGAGTCACTTACTCCTGACACTTAGTAATGCAGTCCAGATGTCCAACTGGCACTCCCTAGACAGATAGGCGCCAATGGATGACCATTGATCATGATAGCCAGGCTTAGCTAAGTGCATCCCCCTTTGGGAGCTGTCCTTATCAAAAGAAAACATCTTGCATGAATGGTTTCTCTGTGGCTGCACCACAGAGATGAACAGAGAAATGGGGCCTCATTTGGGAAGCTCAGAAACACTTAATTCTGCCTTATTAATAAGCCTCGCTGCTATACTCTTTTATTTATTGCTACTAACTGCAAAGCAAAACACAAAACAAAATTCTTACTATACTCCCTAAAATGTCCTCTTTTGACATTTTGTTTGTTAGGCAATTAAGTTAAAAAAATACTCACAAAAACCATCATTCTCCAAATGTTTCATGGGCTCATCATTCAGTTGTTTCTCCCTGTGCTGCACAACATAACAGAGGCTATGGTCTCTTCCTTAAGATCAGAGGCTTAGGGCCAACTTGAAGCCTCTTCTGTCTGTTTTTTTATGTCGCCCAACCAGTTGTCTTCTACCAATTGGTCAGATAACTGAGTATTGCTCTGTTGTGTATCTGTTTCAGACAAAATCTCAATTTTGACTCCACCTACTGTACAACCCTTTTCATTATTTAAACTTGAACTACTCCTGTCACAGTGATTGTATTCTCTGTTGAAACCAGTTGAAATATTATTCTCAAAGAAGTTTGCCCATTGTAAAATAAGATGCCATTATATTATGGTTTGTTTCCCAAGATAACCCCTCTACTGAAAATTCATTCTTCCTCCTAATTCAGGGCATTATTCACCATTACAGTGCACTTGTGCAGTAGGAGTTTTGTTTTTCACTAAGAAGTTGTTCACCATTGTAAAGGTAACTGACAAATTGCTCTGAAGTTCCAAGTTCAAAGTCCATCAAATGCTGAATACAGTGAGATAAAATAGGATTGTTCAACAAGAACATAGGAAAATGTTAATTATCTCAATTAATCTCTACAAACTGGCTTGATCAGTTATTCCATATCTTTAAAATTCCCTTTTTAAAAGTACAGAAACTGTTTTTGACAAGTATCCATGTATAGTTTTAAATAGATCAGCTCTCTTTTGTTTCCCACTCATTCCTTTTGGTTTGGGGAACATGTCAAAATCCCATGCCCAGAGAACTTCAACTAAAGTTCGCGGAAATGCTCAAGCTTAGAAGCACCTGTTAATTATTATATACAGTTGTATGCAAAAGTTGGTTAAATTGCATCTTTCACAGAATCTCTAAGTGAAAAGAAGTTAACACAACCACTGTTAACACAAACACTGCAGGGTACAAAATATTTTACTGTTTCAAATTTATTTTTTCAGTTTGTTAAATTCAACAAATAAATAGTAATTGTGTATTAAAATATACAGGAATATGTCATGTTTAACTTTGTACCCTGCAAAATTGTAAACCTGCAGCATTAACTTCTTTTCACTTAGAGATTCAGTGAAATGTGTAATTTGACCAGGGTTACCCAAACTTTTGCATATTACTGGACACACCCAAACTAGAATAACAATTTATTTTCTTTATATCAAAGACTTATGTACTTCAAGGGAATAATAATAATAATAATAATTGCTTACACTTATATAGCGCTTTTCTGGACACTCCACTCAAAGCACTTTACAGGTAATGGGGACTCCCCTCCACCACCAATGTGCAGCATCCTGAGAAACATTAGACAGGCTCCTCCAATCTGCTCCACTATCATGTCTGCAAGCTCCATTGCATCTGAGGGTTAAAAAAGAGGGTCAGTTGAGGAATGTGAGCACTGTGACTGACCCATCTTAAACCTACCCTTGTTTGTTGACCACTTGAGGAGTCTCATTGGCTAATGACATAACTCGGCTGCAAATTCATGG